TGTGAATCCTTTTGTGGATCATGAAATACAAGTGTGAATCCTTCTGTGTGCATGTGTGTATTATGAGACTGTTCTGAGCCCATATGACGCAGTCCCCCATTGTTGTTGTTGTAGTGAGCGCCGTAACGCCATTGTGGAGAAAATCAGCGACGTAAGCGGTGACGTCATGACGCAGCAGCGACAGCACCAGTCGGGCTCTGGGCGGTGTGAACAAAACGGGGGCTGAAAAGAAAAACCGGTTCCGAACCAGAAAAGCTCTAGCACGGAGCTAGAACGGGAATCGCGTTGGTGTGAAAGCCCTATGAGTGACTAGATGGGGTGTCCTGCTATCACCCTGAAGTGAAATAAGTATTTGATACTGGAGAGTTTTTGTTTTACTCCTATCTAAAAACAGAGGGATGATAGCTCATAAATAAGATTTCAAAGGTCTTTTATTTTGAAACTGTACATCAGATTGTCCTGATATTCTCTGAGTGACTAGTTGGGGTGTCATGCAATCACCCTGGAGTGATATTAGTCTTTGATACTGGAGAGTTTTTGTTTTATTCTTATCTCAAAACAGCGGGACGATAGCCCATATATGAGACTTCAAATGTTTTTATTTTGAAACTCTACATCAGATTGTCCTGATTCTCTCTGAGTGACTAGATGGGGTGTCCTGCTAGTGAAATAAGTATTTGATTGACTTTGAATGACTCAGACTTTGATTATGGACAGTTTCCATTAAATAATAATGAAAATATAGATGGACAATAGATCTAATTTGAGATTTTAAACAGCATACATTTTAAATTGTGCTTCAGAAAGTCATGTTATTTTAGGAGTGTTGTGAGATGGTGTCAACATCAATTGAAATGAGTCACCCAGTGGAAATGGACAATTTAATAATGAATGTAATGGTCAGATATGTCTTCATAACTGTATCCTTAAGTTTTACATTCACACCTAATAGTCCGTTTTCAGGTGTGCACCAGACGACAGTTTGTTACATTGTTTCATTTTTCAGAAGGTTCGGTTTGCGTTCACACGGGCAAAACTCAAACGGACTATAAACTTTAAACACAAGTCATGTGCACGGAAATGCTGTTCAACCATTGGTCAGACATTAAGGGGGTAAAAACGCAAATCCCGGCAATTTCTACCGGAGCCTCCGCCATGGAGCATCGGCACTTTCGGCACGTTATTCTCATGCTGCTGTTAATCTGGAGATCAACAGACACTGGCGGCCCGCGCATATGATTATATAATCAGACAACGTCCGTTAAAAAACATTGAGACGTTCTGCAGTAAGGAGGGGCGTTTCACCGACGACAGGTGTTCTTACTTTTATGTAGTTGACGGAGCATTTTTACTTTACAGGACACTGTTCAACACTTAATTCTGCTTCACTCTTTAAAGGGGACCTATCATGCAAAATGCACTTTTGTACGTCTTTTATACATGAATATGTGTCCCCGGTGTTCCAGGGAACTCACCAAGTGTCAGAAAACACAACCCTCTCTATTATGTTATGTTATTATGTTGCATTGTTGGAGAAGCCTGTGACATAAGATTTTCAACTGCATAATTACTCTGTAGCTATGTCAGATTGACAATAAAGAACCTTGAACCTTGAACCTTTCCTCCATACCCAAATCTCTAAAAAAAAGGGGCTGCAACGGATCTGATACAGACTGATCCAGATTTGAACACTTCTCAGAAGTGGCGCTACGGCTATTGGGCCAACTCTCCACCTATCAGGGGAATGTGGGGTTGGGCCACGGCCGGCCATTGCTGCTCGAAAGCGCTGGAGACGCTGTAGTACATATGCCAGGCCTGTAAGTGGCGCTGTAGTCTGCCACAAAAGCAGCGAAGAAGACTTCCCGCGCATATGGTAACCATGGTTACCCTTCTGTTTATTCTCCGCTGTGGCTTTTTTTCTCCCTCCCCGAGGCAAGCGTTTGCTCCAGCTGCTTTAATTCAATGCAATCCCTCCCCGTCGAGGCAAGCACTGTAATTCTCTCCGGTTAGTCCACCAGCAGATGACAAACACCCACCTCTCTGCCTCTTCCAAGGAACGAGGGGACCGTGCGGCAGAGTTTCAGTTTCAGTTTCTTTCGCCGGTCAAGATGTCCGTTAAAGTTTAAATCTTCCGGACAAAATTAGAAAAGTGCCGGTCAAAGGTCTTCTTTGTTATTTATTGAGCTTTAAAACAAATGAATAACGACTCTATAGGCCTATAATAATAATAATATAATAAAACCATAGACTGTATATATAAATAAAACACGGAGGACGGAGATCTTTTTTTCTCCCCCTCTTGACTTGATCAGAGCACGGCTACCCTCTCCTGCAGGGGGGCGTGGTCTCACAGAATCAGCCGTAGACAGCAAACAGCACATAGAGCGAAATGAGGCATGGCTAAAATGCATGATCTGTTTGGTATTTTGAAAACAGAAACTTATAAATATACCTTATATAGGTATGGCCCTACAATATATCATTTAAGCATGATAGGTCCACTTTAACTAAACAACCGCGGATGTCTTGAAAGACTCTTTCGCTAAAGATTTTGAAGACATCCGCATTCTTGTGACACGTAAATACTACGCTTCCTATGTTTTGGTGCGGACTGCGTTCACACCAGCAATGAACCGCTCCAGAGTTCGCAAGCAAGCGTTCCGAGACCACCTATTTTAGCGGACCAGAGTCCGGTTGTTTAGTTCACTTAAGAGGTCTCGGACTGTGTTCACACCGACCCAAATGAACCGCACCAAGCGGCTAAACGCACCAGGGTTCGATTCAACCGGACTAAACAAGGCTGATGTGAATGCGACCTTAAATTATTATTGATCACATTATTACATATTTCTTAATTTAAGCTCCAGTATATATGAATATGTTTGGTATGTTTTTTAGGTATATTTGTTATTGACCGATAAGCGCTTTTATTTTGAAGGCCATTTTTATAGGCCTCTACCGTAATGCATAGGATATTCGCGCACCGCAATACAACGTGGGGGCTGGCTTGACTGTGTTTTCTGAAGTGGAGGCTAGCTTGACCGCAGTCAATATATTGACTAATTTGAGTTAATATAGACTAAGAGGTTAGAGCAGACGATCTAAATTGTGTTTTTTCAATTGGCCTGCAGTTAATAGAAAGCACATGATGTAGCTTGTAGTGATGGTAGTTTGACACTGAAGCTTCGATACGTGCTTCAAACCCTGGTTTTCCTATTCCATAGAATCCATATGTCAATCACTTGACATATGACGTCCGAAGCAGGGATGTATAATAAGAACTGGATACAGCGTGGGAGGCGGGGCCTCGTTCATTCCTATGAGAGTTGCTCATTGGCGCATGAAGACAAAATGGCCCAACTTTTGAGAGAGCGAAACGTCACACAAATATTCATATAATCCGTTCTTATTGTGCATCCATGGGTAAAGGTAAAACTCATGTAGTACTGAACACGTCACATGAACGTGCCGGGCGGCGCGGTCCCGTGGGTTAGATCCGCGTTCATAATGCAGAGGAAAATAACTCTCAGAATAACATTATTAGCACATTTTACAACTTGAGAACCGAAAGTTTTTAATAAGGGCTATACAAATGTTCATATTGGGTAGTTTATTTAGTTTAAAAAAAATTATCCAACGATTTACAGGCGTCTCTTTCCCAATGTAAGTCAATGGGAAAAAGTATTTCCGGGACCAGCGACTGATACGGAAGTGTAGTACCGCCGTTTGGCCACAACGAATATTTTCCTCAGAGTCCAGCGCACTTCCTGGGGGCTTGGTCCGAAGCAGCAACGGCTTCATTTCCTGAATGAATCAACTCACTGGTTCGCCGTCCAATCAGGTGATTCAATGCACTGCCTCGTCTCGATTCTGACAGGTGACAGGTTGAAACAGTTTCAAATTTGAGCGCTTCAACACTTTATGACCGCTCTAAACAATGCGCAATGTGTGGGTTGTTGTCGTAGTTTGCATTGTTGCTGTTGAGTTGTTGTTGGTATTGCATTTGTATTGGATCATTATAGAGCAAGCCAGGACGAAAGATAGGTCGTTCTGGCTCGGGAAACACTTCAAAATGTGGAGAAGTTGTGAACAAAAAGACAATTATGAGTATTAAAAAAAAGTTCAACAGTTTAAAGAATAAATAGCCCAGTGGATAGAGCCAGTGGCCCGCATGCGGGGACTTCCTCCGTGCAACTGGTTCGAATCCTGGAATGGATGAACTTGTAATCATTGCCCGCTTTTCAACTTTAATACTATAACTGATAAAAGGACCTCTCCGGCCAAAAAAAATGCCTTTAGAAAAATACAAAATAAAAAGAATAATGTAGGCTACCTCAATAAAGATATTTGAGTGTTCCCCATCCCACATAAACACCCCCTGCCATAATTACACAAGCACACTCAACCAATGCCACATTTTCCAGCACTCTCTACTCTCTTCTCAATAACCCAATACAGACAATTATCAATCTTTAATTGCAAATAGAACATGATATTCAGTCTAGTGTGTGTGTGCATCGAATATTTTTCAAGGCAAAGATACGTTAAACCCACTGCAGCCTTGCACTTCGCCAGGAGAGGTCGCTGTAACTGAAGCTTCGAGAAATGAACCTATTTTCGTGGTTCGATGCTTCATTCAAAGCTTCATTTGCCCATCACTAGTAGCTTGTTCATATTTAAAGTAATGAGGAAACGGCTGCTGATTGGCTGTTTCTGGCTGTGAGAGATCAGAACTCCCGCGGTGGTGTGGACCTCCATGGTGTGGACCCGCCAGCCCTTCATCAGGAAGGCTAAAGGCTTCTCTAGTGTCTTAGTTTGGTTAACGTGAACGGGTTGTTCTTGATGTGGACATCGTCGGGGTCACCGTAAATTACACCAAAATATAACTCACACTACACTGTTCACACTTTAAATCTGTTAACAAGTTACCTGACACACTGCTTATTTAAAGGTACTGTGTCCAACAACAAAGAGACATACTCACATACTCTGCTACTCACCTTTAGACAGGATTTTGGCAATGGACAGAGCCAGGGACGGTTTCTCTGCCACCATCAGGACAGTCCTCATTGTGACGGCCACTTTACGATTAAGACTTAAAACTAGTTACTTTCCATATACGTGCTTGCTATGTCGAGCAGAGCGGCCATGACAGTTTACGGAGGGTTCTGTTCTTCTTCTTTGTTGACATTTTGGCAGGTAGCGACCGTTTCATATAAGGTGCATACCGCCACCTACTGTTCCGGAGATGTTAGGTTTTCAAAAGTTATACATGAACTATAACATTCATAATTAAACCAAGAACATCTTCAAGGTCCACTTTTCTTTCCTGCTAATAATTTAAGCCAGTCTTAGTCTTTCTTCCCAATACACACAACACAGATCTTTTCTTTTCTTTTTCCTGTGAGGTTTCGTGTGTGTTGGAGGAGAGGCTCTGTAAGGAAGTGGCAGATTTTTTCCGGCTGTGTATTTTCAAATTCTAGCGCACTCGAGCTGATTTCTCCAAAATGACATACCCCACCTTTAAGACACACAACAGACGATCAGAAATGTAGCAACCCCGGGTTAGTTTAAATTTAGAAGGGAAAACAAGAGTGAACAGTAACATTACCACCCATGGGATATTGCTAGCAAATTAGGAGAATAGAAACATCTTTTAAAACAAATCCTACTTCTATTTTTGTATTGAACGCTGCTATGATCAATAGTTTTACATACACAATTTCATCAAATGACGATGTATAATATGACTATGTGAGTCACTTTTGGAAATCACAGAGGTTCAAGCTGCATTCAAATTATGGGCGGGGAAACAGCTCTGCGCTGAGATTTCCGTTGTTTCTATGGAAAGAGCTGTTCGTCCCGAGTAGATGAAGCGTGTCGCTTGAAGCTCAAATGTGTTGCCGGGCGCTTGCTCAAATGTCTAATTATTTCTACTTTGACCTGTACATCGCTGACCATTAAACGCGCAACCAATCAGAAGGCAGCTGTATGTAAGCGCTTTTACAGGTGCTCAAAGTCAAGTGAGCAAAGAGCAAGTGGTGTGTCACGTGAAAGCAGAATTATAACCCACTCTGCAGTTCCCTTTAGCTCCTTTGAGCTTTTCAGCATCTTTCACTTCATTGTTTGCTTCACTAAATGCTGGTTTACCAAATAGTAGAGACTACCTTGTGAACATAAGTGAATTTAGCAGCAAAAGAGACAGATATTAAAGATATTCATTCATCAGGTGGCTACTCCAAAATAATGCTTATGTTCCTCTGTGTGTGCTGGATGTTAATATGCAACACTTTGATAACATGTTAGCTACAACAACTTATGGTCTTCCACCACAGCCTGTCCATCTTCAAACAGGTTTGTCCGTGACTTTAGGAGTATTCTTGAGTTTGTTGTTAAAGTCTAGATTTTTGACCCGATTCATTTGTATTTTTACTTGGTGAGGGGTAGTTCAGCAATCCATGTGGTGATGAGTGGATTAAAAACATACATTATATTGTTTAAGTAAAGAATATCTGGTTTAACCCTGGTCAAGCGGCTAAATCTTATTTATAGTAACATTTACACAACAATCCGTCAAATGAAACGACAGGATGTTATTTGTAATTTTGGATCCTGACTTTCTTCTTAGCTCCCAAACTCATTTTCAATACGGCTGCCAGAGGGCGCTCACAGAACATACAGTAAGAAGAGAAATAATGGGACAGTATGTCCCATTATGTCCTTTAAATCGGACAGTTGAAATTATTGTAATCCACATAGGGAAGAAAGAGGTGGGAAGTAATTGAATACACTTACTCAAGTACTATACTTAAGTACAATTTTGAAGTACTTGTTCTTTACTTGAGTATTATAATTGTATCCACTACAATTCAGAGGTAAATGGTGTACTTTTACTCCACTACATGTATTTAATACCTTGAGTTACTTTACAGATCTGGATGAATGATGTGAAATATAATCAAGTCTTAAATCAGACTTTAGTTCCACCTGGAGTAAATTCACAAGCTACCCTGCAGTATACAAAGTCATTCAAACTAGCTGCACCTTTACCAGCTTTGAGAACACTTTCATGATCAATCATTATAAAACATATCATATATATTATTCTGAAATGGACCAATCTGCACAATGACTATACTTTTACTTTAAAGTGGACCTATCATGCTATATTTGAATAATATAGTGTAGGACCATACCTATATAAGGCATATTTATCACCAAACAGATCATGCATTTTAGCCATGCCTCATTTTGCTCAATTTGATAATTTCTAGCTCTGTTTTTGCAAGGGCTGATTCTGTGAGAACAGCACCATCTACTGGCCTGGCATATGTACTACAGCGTCTCCAGAGCTTTCGAACGGCAATGGCCGTGGCTGTCTCCTCCTGATTGGTGGAGTTGGCCCAATAGCCGTAGCGCCACTGTCCTGACGTCAGGACAGTGTTCAAATCTGGATCAGTTTTTATCAGATCCGTTGCAGCCCCTTTTTTAGAGATTTGGGTATGGAGGAAAATAGAGAGGGTTGTGTTTTCTGACACTTGGTGAGTTCCCTGGAACACCGGGGACACATATTCATCTATAAAAGACGTACAAAAGTGCATTTTGCATGATAGGTCCCCTTTAACTATATTTAGATGCTAATACTTTTCTACTTTTACTTGAGTAACATTTTGAATGCAGGACTTTTACTGTCACAGATTATTCCTACACTCTGGTACTTCTACTTTTACTCAAGTACAACATCTGAGTACTTCTACTTTAAAGGGGACCTATCATGCAAAATGCACTTTTATACGTCTTTTATACATGAATATGTGTCCCCGGTGTTCCAGGGAACTCACCAAGTGTCAGAAAACACAACCCTCTCTATTTTCCTCCATACCCAAATCTCTAAAAAAGGGGCTGCAACGGATCTGATACAGACTGATCCAGATTTGAACACTTCTATGTCGTCACAGAAGTGGCGCTACGGCTATTGGGCCAACTCTCCACCTATCAGGGGAATGTGGGGTTGGGCCACGGCCGGCCATTGCCGCTCGAAAGCGCTGGAGACGCTGTAGTACATATGCCAGGCCTGTAAGTGGCGCTGTAGTCTGCCACAAAAGCAGCGAAGAAGACTTCCCGCCCATAGTTACCATGGTTACCCTTCTGTTTATTCTCCGCTGTGGCTTTTTTTCTCCCTCCCCGAGGCAAGCGTTTGCTCCCGCTGCTTTAATTCAATGCAATCCCTCCCCGTCGAGGCAAGCACTGTAATTATCTCCGGTTAGTCCACCAGCAGATGACAAACACCCACCTCTCCGCCTCTTCCAAGGAACGAGGGGACCGTGCGGCAGAGTTTCAGTTTCAGTTTCTTTCGCCGGTCCAGATGTCCGTTAAAGTTTAAATCTCCCGGCCAAAATTAGAAAAGTGCCGGTCAAAGGTCTTCTTTGTTATTTATTGAGCTTTAAAACAAATGAATAACGACTCTATATAATAAAACACGGAGGACGGAGATCTCTTTTTCTCCCCCTCTTCTGACAGCCTCCAGTATGGAGGACGGAACATGACTTAAGTATAAATAAATAAATGTGTAAATAAATGTATGAAGAAATACAGGAATAAATAAATAAATACGTAAATAAATAAATAAATACAGGAATAAATAAATGACGAAATAAATACAGAAATAAATAAATGTTGAAATAAATACACAAATAAATAAATAAAAGAATAAATAAATGCATAAATAAATATGGAAATAAATACACCAATGTATAAATAAATAAAACAGAACACACGTTATTATATATCTTTCATATATTTCTACATTTACTCGACATACATTTATTTATTTATTTATGTGTCCGTATGCTAATGAGGTGGGCGGTCCTAACCTCAGTCTGAAGCAGGATTGGTTACAGGAGTGTGTGATCATTTCTGGCAGAGGGCTATACTAACGCCTGGTGAACCGCGCTGATTCGAAAGCAGGAGCTTTACTGTTTAGCCCTTATCTTTATACATCCATGGTTTATCCACAGTTGTAAGGATTATTTATGGGTATTGGTTTAAGAGCCATTGGAGATCATTAGCGGACCATTTAGAGAACGGAGAACCAAAAGACTATGTCCTCTCTATGTCCAGTTTCGTGTGGAACGATGTATAGAAGACTTGGCTCAGCTCGACATGGATGTGGATGTTAACCCAGCTGTGTTTGAGAGTCTTCAAGAGGTTGCCCGCCAACTTGAAATCCTCTCGGAAACAGAGGAGGCGACCCTTGGGCGTCCATCTTACATGTTGCCCCCAAACGTTATTGAAGCACATCTTCGTTGGGGGCACACCGCTGGGGACATCGCGAACGGGTGTGCGAAAGAACAATTATTAAAGAAGCCATTATTAGCGAGTTGCCGTGGGTGTACACTGTACACAGAATGAACAGATGTGACTTGCCACGAATCTCTTGCTTCTGCCTGGCTCCAACAATTGGCGAATCCTGCTTCAGACTGAGGTTAGGACCGCCCACCTCATTAGCATACGGACACATAAATAAATAAATAAATGTATGTCGCGTAAATGTAGAAATATATGAAAGATATATAATAACGTGTGTTCTGTTTTATTTTCGTCTTTTATTTATTTATTTATACATTGGTGTATTTATTTCCATATTTATTTATGCATTTATTTATTATTTTATTTATTTATTTGTGTATTTATTTATTTATGTATTTATTTCGTCATTTATTTATTCCTGTATTTATTTATTCCTGTATTTATTTATTTATTTACGTATTTATTTATTTATACTTAAGTCATGTTCCATCCTCCATACAGCAGCTGATCAGAGCACGGCTCACCTCTCCTGCAGGGGGGCGTGGTCAGCAGAATCAGACCCGTAGACAGCAAACAGCACATAGAGCGAAATGAGGCATGGCTAAAATGCATGATCTGTTTGGTATTTTGAAAACAGAAACGTATAAATATACCTTATATAGGTATGGCCCTACAATATATCATTTAAATATAGCATGATAGGTCCACTTTAAAGGGGACCTATCATGCAAAATGCACTTTTGTACGTCTTTTATACATGAATATGTGTCCCCGGTGTTCCAGGGAACTCACCAAGTGTCAGAAAACACAACCCTCTCTATTTTCCTCCATACCCAAATCTCTAAAAAAGGGGCTG